CCTTCTGTGTTCTCTAACCCATTCCGCTGGTCTACCTGTCTGTTTTTGTATCAGTACTATGCTGTGTTGATTACTGTAGCCTTATATTATAGTTTGAGATAAGGTAGTAGTATAACTCCAGCTTTGTTCTTTTTACTTAAGATTGCTTTGGCTTTAAGGGCTCTTTCTTGTTTCAAATGAATTTTAAAATAGTTTTTTTCTAATTCTTTGGAAAAAAAAAGTCATTGGTAGCTTTTTAAGGAACGGCATTGAATCTGCCTAAATTGCTTTAGGCACTATGGCCATTTTAACAATATGATTCTTTGTATTCATGAGCATAGAATTTTTTTTTATTCATCTGTGTTATCTCCGATTTCCTTCAGCAGTGTTTTATAATTCTAATTGTGGAGATCCTTCACCTCCTTTGTTAGCTATATTCCTAGGAATTTTATTTTTTGTGGCAGTTGGGGATGGGATTGTGTTCTTGATTTGGTGCTCAGCTTGTATGTTCTTGGATTACAGAAATGCTACTATTTTTATACACAGATTTTGTGTCCTGAAAGTTTGCTGAATGTGTTTATCAGTTCTAGGAGCCTTTGGACAGAGACTATGGAGTTTTAAGAAATAAAAATATATCTTCTGTGAATAGAGGTCTTTGGGCTTTTTCTCTCTTTAGTTGGATGCCTTTTATTTCTCTTACATGATTGCTCTGGCTAGGACATCAAGTACTATGTTGAATAGGAGTTGTGAGAGAAGGCACCCTTGTCTTGTTTCTGTTCTAAGGGGGAATGGTTCTAGCTTTTACCCATTCAGTATGATACTGGTTGTGCATTTGTCATAGGTGGCTCTTATTATTTTGATGTATAGTCCTTCAATTCCTAGTTTGTTGAGTGTTTTTGATATGAAGGGAGATTAAATTTTATTCAAAAGCCTTTTCTGCATTTATTGAGATTATCATGTGGTTTTTGTGTTTAGTTCTGTTTATGTGATAAATCACATTTATTGATTTGTATGTGTTGAACCAACTATGCATCCCAGGAATAATGCCTCCTTGATCATGGTGTATTAATGTTCCTGCACCAAACTGTGGGTTGGGATGCTTATTCTCACAGCCCCATAATGAGATGCAGATGAACTGGGAGAAAAAGGAGTTTTTATTTCTGCAACCAGTTATAGGGAGAAGGCCTGGAAATTATCACAAGACCACTCAAAATTACAAAGCTTTCCAGAACTTGTATACCTCCTAAGCTATATGTCTATGTATAAGTATGCATTCATATAAAGACATAAGTGATTAACTTCTTTTAATCTACAACTGAGGTCCAAGTCTTGAAGACCTTCCTCTGAAGCCTCAGTAAATTTATTTAATCTAAATGGGTCCAGGACCTGATATGATTACCCTTATGTTGTCTCCTGCTAAATCATGGAGATTTGGGGAGTTTCTTCAGACCCCCAGTTAACCTGTGTGTGGAAACCCGGGGAGCTTCTTCAGACTCCCAATAAAGCTTGTTTAATCCTAACTGGGTCCTGTTAAGAATTCCTTCGTTATCTTGTCATGCTTTAAGGTCCATGAAATGCTTAGGCAAAACTCTTGGAGGGACTTGTTACATTCCAGCCTTTGTATAAGGACACTGACTCTTTCAGCTTTTAATATTTAATTTAACCCCTCAGTCAGTACTGAAACAGTTGTTATGGAGGCCCGCATTAGTGAAACCTAGCCTGCCACATTAATGATTTCTGGTTGGTAGGTTTTTATTACTGATTTAATTTTGGAACTTGTTATTGGTGTTTTCAGGGATTTAATTTCTCCCCAATTCAATGTTGAGAGGAATGTTTCCATAATGTTTCCAGGAATTTATCCATTACTTCTGTTTTGTAGTCTGTGTGTATGAAAGTATTCATAATAGTTTCTGTGAGTTTTATTTTGTATATTTCTGTGGGTCTAGTAGTCATGTTCCCTTTGCCATTTCTGATTTTGTTTATTTGGATCTTCTCTTTTTTTTTTCTTTGTTAGCCTACCTAGAAGTCTATCAATCTTACTTATTCTTTCAAATAATTCAGTTTTGGTTTTGTCGATCTTTTGTATATTTTTGCATCTCAATGTCATTCAGTTTAGTTCTGGTTTTGGATTTTTTTTTTTCTGCTAGCTTTGGGGTTGGTCTTTGGTTTTTCTACTTCCCCTATGTTTGATTAGACTGCTAATTTAAGGGTTTTTTTTGTTTTTGTTTTTGAGATGGAGTTTTACACTTTTTGCCCAGGTTGGAGCACAATGGCATGATCTTGGCTCACTGCAACTTCTGCCTCCCCAATTCAAGCAATTATCCTGCCTCAACCTCCTGAGTAGCTGGGATTACAGGCACATGCCACTACACCCAGCTAATTTTTGTACTTTTAGTAGAGACAAGGTTTCACCATGTTGTCCAGGCCAGTCTTGAACTCCTGACCCTCAGATAATCCACCTACCTCTGCCTCCCAAAGTGAGGTGCTGGGATTACAGGCATGAGCCACTGTCCCTAGCCAGTTTGAGATCTTTCAACTTTCTGAATGTGGACATTTAGCACTGTAAACTTTCCATTTAGCACTGTTTTAGCTGTGTCTCAATGATTCTGGTATGAACTGGTATCTTTGTTCTCATCAGTTTCAAAGCATTTCTTGATTCCTGCCTTAATTTCGTAGTTCACCCAAGAATCATTCAGGAGCAGGTTGTTTAAATTTTATGTAATAGAATGTTTTTGAGAGATCTTCTTAATATTGATTTCTGTATTTATTGCACTGTGGTCCGAGAGCGTGATGGGTATGATTTTAGTTTTTTTGAATTTGTTAAGAGTCGTTTTATAGCTGAGTGTGTTGATTTTAGACTATTTGCCATATGTGTATGAGAAGAATGTATATTCCATTGTTGTTCCCTGGAGTGTTCTGTTAATATGTTAGGTCTATTTGGTTAATTGTTGAATATCTTTGTTAGTTTTCTGCCTTGATGATCTGTCTAATATTGTCAGTGGGGTGTTGAAGTCTCCCACTTATTGTATCATTGTCTAGGTGTTTTTGTAGATCTCTAAGAACTTGTTTTATAAATCTGGGTTCTCCTGTGTTGGGTGCATATACAGTTAGGATAGTTAAGTCTTCTGTTGAATACTTTATAATTGTGTAATACTCATTTTTAGTCTTTTTTGGTTGTTGTTGGTTTAAGCTTCTTTTATCTGAATTTAGAATAGCAACTCCTAGTCTTTTTTATTTTCCATTTGCTTGGTAGATTTTTCTCCATCTATTTACTTTTAGCCTACATATGTCATTCCATGTGAGATGGGTCTCTTGATGACAGAAAACAGTTGAGTCTTGCGTCTTTATCCAACTTGCCATACTGTGCCTTTTAAGTGGGGTAGTTACCCCACTTAAGTTCAGCATTAATAATGCTATGTGTAAATATGATCCTGTCCTTTTGTTGTTAGCTGGTTATTATGCAGACTTAACTGCGTAGTTGCTTTATAGCATCACTGGTCTACATATTTAAGTATGCTTTGTGGTGGCAGTTACAGTCTTTTGTTTTGATATTTAGCATTCCCTTAAAGATCTCTTGTAAGAAAGGTGTGTTTGTAATGAATTCCCTTAGAATTTGCTTATCTCAAAAGTATTTTATTTCTCCTTTGCTTATGAAGCTTAGTTTGGCTGGATATGAATTTCTTGGTTGGAATTTCTTTTTTTTAAGAATGCTGAATATAGGCCCGAAGTCTTTTCTGGCCTTTAAGGTGATATGGTTTGGCTGTGTCCCCACCCAAATCTCATCTTGAGTTGTAGCTCCCATAATCCCCAAGTGTTGTAGAAGGGACCTGGTGGGAGGTAATTGATTCATGCAGATGGTTTTTCCCCATGCTGTTTTAGTTGTGGTAAATAAGTCTAATGAGATCTGATGGTTTTATAAAGGACAGTTCCCCTGCAAATGCTTTCTTGCCTGCTGGATGTAAGACTTGTATTTGCTCCTCCTCAGCTTCCACCATGATTGTGAGGCCTCCCCAGCCATGCTAAACTATAAGTCCATTAAACCTCTTTTTTTTTTTTTATAAATTACCCAGTCTCAGGTATTTCTTCATAGTAGTATTAAAATGGACTAATACAGTAAATTGGTACCCATAGAGTGGGGTGCTGCTATGACATCTAATAATGTGTAAGCAACTATGGAGCTGGGTAACAGGCAGAGGATGGAACCATTTGGGGGGCTCAGAAGAAGATAGAAAAATGTGGGAAAGTTTAGAACTTCCTAGATACTTGGAAGGCTGATAAGACAGGAAGATCTGATGATGTTTATAACTTTATAGAGACTTGTTAAATGACTTTGATCAAAATGCTGATGGTGATATGGACAATAAGGTCCAGGCTGAGGTGTTCTCAGTAAAGATGTGGAATTTGTTCAGGACTGGAATAAAGGCCACTCTTGCTATGCAAAGAGACTGACAGCTTTTGTCCCTTCCCTAGAGATCTGTAGAAATTTGAACTTGAGAGAGATGATTTAGGATACTTGGCAGAAAAAATTTCTAAGTAGGAAAGTGTTCAAGAGGAAGCAGAGCACAAAAGTTTGAAAAATTTGCAGCATGATAATGCAATAGAAAATAAAAAGTTCAGAACTTTTTCTTTTCTGGTGAGAAATTTTCTGGGGAGAAATTCTGGGAAGAAATTCAAGCCTGCTGCAGAAATTTGCATAAGTAACAATGAGCCATATATTAATCATGAAGACAATGAAGAAAATGTCTCCAAGCCATGTCAGAAACCTTCACAGCAGCCCCTCATATCACAGGCTCAGAAGCTTAGGAGGAAAAAATGGTTACATGGGCTAGGCCCAGGGCCCTGTTGCTCTGTGCAGACTTGGGGCATGGTACCCTGCATTGCAGCCACTCTAGCTGTGGCTAAAAGAGGTCAAGGTACAGTTTGGGCCCTGGCTTCAGATGATGCAAGCCCCAAACTTTGCCAGCTTTTACTTGATGTTGAGCCTGTGAGTTCACAGGAATCAAGAATTGAGCTGTGGGAACCTCTGCCTAGATTTCAGAGGATGTATAGAACTGCCTGGATGTCCAGGCAGGGGTGTGCTGCTGGAGCGAGGCTTTCATGGGGAACCTGTGCTAGGGCAGTGTAAAAAAGAAATGTGGGGTTGGAGTCCCCACACAGAGTTCTTAGTAGAGCGATGAGAAGAGGGCCACCATCCTCCAGACTCCAGAATAGTAGATCCACTGACAGCTTTCACTGTGAGCCTAGAAAAGCTTCAGACAATCAACACCAGTCCATGAAAGTAGCCAGGAAGGGGGCTATACCCTGAAAAGCTACAGGGACAGAGATGCCTAAGGCCATGGGAGCCCACCTCTTGCATCATGTCTCATAGATGTGAGACATGGAGTCAAAGGAGATTATTTTTATTGCCTCATTGGATTTTGGATGGGCATGGAGCCTGTATCCCCTATGTTTTGGCCAATTTCTCTCATTTGGAATGGGCATATTTACCTAATGCCTGTACGCCCATTGTATCTAGGAAGATAAGTAACTTGCTTTTGATTTTACAGACTCATAGGTGGAAAGGACTTGCCTTGTCTCAGATAAGACTTTGTTTGCCTAGACCAATGTCCTGAAGCATTTCTCTTATATTCTCTTTAAGTAGTTTAATGAATCTTATATTCATGAAATATGAATCATATCTTTTTATTTTTTTTGAGATAGAGTTTCACTCTTGTTACCCAGGCTGGAGTGCAATGGCGCGATCTCGGCTCACCGCAACCTCTGCCTCCTGGATTCAAGCAATTCTCCTGCCTTGGCCTCCTGAGTAGCTGGGACTACAGGCATGTGCCACCATGCCCAGCTAATTTTTGTATTTTTAGTAGAGACAGGGTTTCACCATGTTGACCAGGATGGTCTCGATCTCTTGACCTCGTGATTCACCTGCCTCAGCCTCCCAAAGTGCTGGGATTATAGGCTTGAGCCACGGCGCCCAGCTGAATTTTATCTTTAAATATTTTGTAATTTGTGTTTTATTTTTGCCTATGGTCAAAAGTAGGGGTTTAGTTTCAGTCTTATGTATAGAGATATTTAGTTTTCCTAGCACCAGTGATTCATACAACTGTCCTTTCCCCAATGTACATTCTTGGTGACTTTGTTAAAAATCAGTTGTCTGTGAATATATAGATTTATTTCCATGTATTCTTTATTTCTATTTTGTTCCATTAGTCTACATCAGTTTTTATGACAGTACCATGGATTTTTTGATTACTATGGCTTTGCAGTATATTTTCAAGTTATGTTGTCTGATGCCTTAAGCATCAGAACTTTGGTTCTTTTGCTCGCTCAGTATTATTTTTGCTATTCAGGGTTTTTCATGGCTTTATACAAGTTTCAAGACTGTTTTTTCTGTTTTCCATAAATTATGTCATTGATATATTGATAGATATTGCATTCAATCTGTAGATTGCTTTGGGTAGTATGGTCATGTTTTCAATATTAATTTTTCCAATCTGATATGGTTTGGATCTGTGTCCTTAGCCAAATCTTATCTTGAATTGTAATCCCCACATGTCAGGGGAGGGACAGGTTGGGACGTGATTGGATCATGGGGGCGGTTTTCTCATGATAGTGAGTCAGTTCTCATGAGAGCTTATGGTTTTAAAGTGTGGTACTTTCTCATTCTCACACACACCCCCTCCTGCCACCTTGTGAAAAAGGTGCCTACTTTCCCTTTTTCTTCTGCTGTGATTGTAAGTTTCCCAAGGCTTCCTAGCCATGCTTCTTGTTAAGCCTGCAGAATTATGAATCAATTAACCTATTTTCCTTATAATTACCCAGTCTTAGATAGTATTCTTTATAGGAGTATGAGAACAGACTAATACACAATCCATAAACATGGATATATTCCCATTTTTAAGAAAAAAAAAGGAGAGAAGACCCAAATTTACAAAAACTGAAGTAATAAAGGAGACATTACAACTGATACTACAGAAATGAAAAGTATCATTAGAGGCTATTTTGGTTAAGTAGCTGCCAACAAATTAGAAACTTAGAGGAAATGAATAAATTCCTAAACCCATATAACCTACCAATTGAACCAAGAAGAAACAGAAGAGCTGAAAGTACTAATAAGAAGTAATGAGATTGAATTTGTTATATAAAATCTCCCAAGAAAGAAAAGCCTCACACAGGATCATGTCAAAGCTCTATTTTACAACCTTTTAAAGAAGAACTAGCACATAGTCTTCCCAAACTATTCAAAAAAGTTGAAGGGTAGAAATTTATACAAACTCATTCTACAAAGCCAATATCACCCTGATAACTGAAATCAGACGAAGACACACAAATACAAAAATACAGGCCATTATCCCTGATGCAATTTTCCATAGATGTATAAATCCTTAACAAAATACTAGCAAACCAAATCCAACAGAACATCAAAAATATTGTATATTACAATCAAGTGAGATTTATCTTAGGAAGGCAAGAATGTTTCAACATACACATATCAATAAATGTGACAAACCATACTAACAGAATGAGAAACAAAAACCTTATAATCATTTCAACAAAAGCAAATAAAACATTTGACAGAATTCAACATGCCTTCGTGATAAAAGCTGTCAACAAATTACATATAGAAAAAAATGTTCCTCAACACAGCAAGTGCCATATACGATAAACCCACAGCTACCATCACGGTGAATGAGAAAAAGTTAAAAGCTTTTCCTCTAAGAACTAGAATAAGGAGACAAAGATGCTCACTTTTACTACTGTTATTCAATAAAGTAGTAGAAGTCCTAGCCAGAGCAATTAAGGAAAAAGGAAGAAAAGAGAGAAGGAAAAAGGAAGAAAAGAGAGAAGGAAAAGAAAAAAGAAAAGCAAGCAAGAAAGAAAGAAAGAAGAGAAAAGAAGGAAGGAAAGAAAGAGGGAGGAAGAGAGGGGAGAGGAAAAGAGAAAGAAAGAAACACAGGGAATCAAAATCAGAAAGGAAGAAGTCAAATTTCCCTGTTTGCAGACAACATAATTTTATCTATTGAAAAACCTAAAGACTACCCCAAAAAACTATTAGAAGTGGTAAAATAAATTGGTAAAGTTGAAAGATACAAATCAACATAAAAAATTAGCAGCACTTCTATACACCAATAACAAATTAGCTCTAAAATTATGAAAGCAATCCTATGTACAATAGCTGCAAAAAATAATAAAGGACCTAGGAAAAAATTTAAGCAAGTAGGTGAAAACTCTCGACAATGAAAACTACAAAACATTGATGAAAAAAATAGAAAAATAGTTTTGAAGCAGAAAATTGGCAGACATAGTGTTTTTTCTGCAATTTCAATTAAAGTCAACTAAATGATATTACAGTACTAAATAAATTTAGCCCTAACCCATAGAACCATAGAAAAAGTGCAATATAAGAGGCGCCTTCTACACAAGACTGGTTAGTCGTTTTTGGCTTACACGGACAGGAAGTTGAACAAAATTGAAAGCTTTGTGATATAAATGACCAAGAAGAGAATGGGACTGAAAACCAACTGAATAAAATTCCTCTCTTTTGTCTTGTATTCCGTTTTCAATCCATTAGAAAAAGCAGTTGGCTTTACCTTCAAAACACGGGCAGAATCTAATTAGTTCCTACCTGCTCTGGTGTTGCCATCCTATTTCAACCTACTATCATCTCTTCTCTGATTTTTTCGTAACAGCATTCTGATTGGCCTCCCTACTTTTTTAACACAGCAGCCAGATAAATTTTTAAAAAATCTAACTAGATAGTGTCATCTTCTGCATAACAACTTTATTAGCTATACATTTTACTTCTAGTAAAAGCTGAAAATTTTAAATGCTTAGAAGGGCTGCAGGTGATTTGAGGCCTCTCTGACGGTACCTTCTAGTACACTAGACCTGTCTTACTGTGCTTACTGTCTTGCTGTGCCTCATTGCTAACCATATGCTTTCCCTAGGGCCTTTGCCTGGCTTGCTAACTTCCTTTCCTGTCTAAAGCCTTTTTTCAAATCGCACCTTCTCGGTGGGGTCTGTTCTTAAAAAAAGCTGTCTAAAATTGCAACCTGCCTTTCTCCTTGTTAACCCCTAATCCTCCTACCTTCTCTCTCTCTAACAGCTATACTATAATTGACAAAATAGTCATGTTTATTTAACATGTGCAATTTGATAAGTTTTGACAAATTACTACAACTATAAAACTATTATGACTATCAAGAAAATGTACATATCATCAAGATATGTACAAATGCAAGATATTCAGCATATGCTAGATTTCCTTTCTTGAGACGTTCACAAGCTAATACACGAATCTGAAGACTTTGCTCTTTCTACTATGCCTCATTGCCTCCAAGGTCTGTTAGGAAAACTAGATCACCATGCTTACTAGAATGATGTAAAATGATGTGATCAAATAAGTGCTGAGTGAAGGCTTGAGTATCGCTCCATTGAGAAAATATATAAATTTTAATACTTAGGTTTTTTTTTTTTTAACCAGATTCACTGCTTTGTTATTTCTTTACTTTTATCCTAGTTCTCATTTACATTTCAAATGAGGAAATATATCTGATCCCAGTTTTGGAATAAGTAGGTTGTTGCTGTGCTTGCTTTTTCTTTCTGTTTCCAAAATAACTATTTATAGAATTATAATAGAAGAAGAATAGGAAGAAATACATCCTTAGGGCAAATATTATCAAAAGTGTGGGGATGACTCACTTAGCTTTGACACAGTTAGATTGTTCTCTATGCTTATCTCTCATTTTTATAGTGTTATTGTTGTTCTTACAATGTTAGAAAATAGACTAAAACTGCAGCCGTCTAGCAATTTCTATCAACTACATCTAAAAGCTGAACTCCTTTATCTCATCTCTCTATAAATTCTTTGCAGTTTTTTTTTTTTTTTCATTTGAGTAGCTGGATGATGGAATGAGTTTTCTGTTTAAATGAAATTATAAGGCTTTGGAGGAAGTGGTTGTGGTTTTTAACTATGGTTTAATTTAAGATCCTGCAGCTGCTACTCAGCAAACAAGATATGTGTGTGTTCTAATAATCAACCAATATAATGTTCTGCTGTTAGGGTGATGCCAAGTTGATTATGAATATTTGCATAGCAAATTCTAACCATTATTTAAATTATGTGCTTCATCTGCAGAAGCTACTGCAAAAGTCTCTTGGACTGCAAGTTTTCCATTATTTTCTCTGTCCAATTCTGCTTTTTCTCCTGGTTCCTCACTCTTGGACATGAAGTCACAACTCACTTAGCAATCAGAGCTAAAATTTCTCCAAGATTGTTGATCCCCTCTTACCTTTGCTTCCTTATTAATTGGTCTCTAATAACTAGAAGTATTTTTGAACTATTATTTTCTTTTATATTTCTTATAAAACACCTCAAATTTTATGGATGGTATAAAACTAGTTAATAAGTGACATATCAGGACAGAAAAACACATAGCTTGTAGTTCATCCTTTAAAATCAGAATAGTCAAGTAAAAGTCAGTACAGATTTTCATTTTTACTTAAAAAACAAAAGGTACACTTTGGGAATTGACCTACTATGTTTTTTTCTTCTTTCTAAAAC